ACACACACACACACACACACACACACACACACACACACACACACACACACACTCAAATAGAAAAAGCCACACTCTCAGCCAGAACACAAGGGACAACATGGATGTAAAGGTCGAATGAATGTGTTGCTGAGATGTGGGTGTGGGGTAGTCCTACATAATAAAGATGGGGAGAATCTACTGGTCCAGCTACTGGCCTGACCCTTAACTTCCTCTTCCTGTTTGTCAACTTCCTGTTTTTCATATTCTATAATCTGAAGTCTCAACTCTAAGCAGACCAACACTGCAAGAAATCACGTGCACATATCAACACGCACTTTACATCGGTGAGGCAGGATATCAGAAGCGATGTGAAACACAGTTCATTATGAGGTCTGAATACCGATAGTGAAACTCAGAGCTGCATCCAGCCTTGAAGCAGTGATCATGGCATTTTTATTAAAAAGACTGTTGTGAAAGATGCCTCAAGCTTTATGATCCGCAGTAACAGTGAGAAAACAAAGCAGTCCAAGTCAATTGACAGATCCTGTAGCACAAACTGCACAGGAGTAGGTGAATAGACATGTATTGACACATTTCTGTCATGTCAGATTTAACAAAACCAACTAAATAAACATAAATCTTAAATTTTCCCCATGTATGTCTTTGGGCTGGTTAAAGGTTAAGTGTTACATAAGAGTGGCCACCATTCTGATACCACCATAACCTGGTGGTTTGAGTTTTATTTATATACAGCTGTAAAGATAGGGGCTGATCAAAGTCACAGGAGCTGAGAAATACAAGTTAATGAGCTGTGACGTTTATCAAATCATCAGAACTGTGTGTGTACATGCAGTATTACTCTATCAAAAGTGTTGTAAGCGAAGCTATTATGTCACATAAGTCGATCTCTCAGCTGTTGATAACCGCCTTGTCTCTGTTTACATGCACTTTCTCTATAGCAACGAGGAGACTGGCAGACTGCGTTATGACCGAAGTCTGACCTTCAGAAAGTATCTTTAAACATATTTTAACAGACATTACTTCACTATATCTTTACGTCGATACTAGTTGTATGCTGCTATATTAATGCACCCTGTATATTGCATCTTTAAATCAAGTTTCTTCACTACCATCATAATGGGCATTGTACTGTGCTGTGCTTTAGTTTTTGACACACCTCCCTGCTGCCGTAAATACATAACAGAGCAGCAAATGTGTATTAAAACACAGCTGAAATTGCCCTACCTACAACAATACAGACTCTGTGTCATTCACGTTTCTACATGTCATGAGTAATCAGCTTCCCCACAACAGATAAGCTGCATGCTTGGAATGTTTTTCGATGGTGACCGCACCCACACTAATTGAGCCACTTGTCTGGCAGCACCTGTGAATGTGTCATTCAGTGTTAAAGCCGGCGCTACCTCCGGTTCCTCCGAAGAAAAACTGTACTTCCACGATTGTTTTTCAGCTGCTCGACTGTTTAAGAAAAGAAAACATCTCTACGGTACCTGCGAGCACTCTTGTCCAGTACAGCTGCTTTTCCGCCATCCTGGCAGTCACACGACGCTTATCCATCTCAGAATGTCGAGTTGTATTAGCATCTATGAGGAAATTGACGTCCCTTCTTCAGGTACAAGTTTCTCTGTCGCCTGGTTACTTAATGTCTGTATTTACCCATCAAACCCTTGGAGTACCTGTACCGTCACTGTACCAACCGGTTCCCCGGAAACCAGAGTCACCAGTTGTGGGAGAGACTAAGGGAGAAAAGGGGAGGAGGGAGAAGTCGTCCTTTAAGATGTTGGTTCGCAGTGACTTTTAATGATTTCCATAATAATGTTTTAAGGGTTAGCCAGCACTCAAGGGCAAAGTCATCCCAGGGTGGGAGGAGGAGGGAGTGGGAAGGGGAGAGAAACCAAAAGAGGAGGTGGAAACACTGTAAATCAGTGGTGAGGTAAGGTGGAGAAAGGAGGGGAGAGGAACGCGTGGATGGGGAAGTCAGAAAAATGTAAATAAACCAGCCGTTAATATTTAACCATCTGCAGCCCTGCCAAACAGTCTAACAGCCCATTATTAAACAAATGTTCTACTATGATGAACCACAGTATTTTGTTGCCTGTGTTCTGCTGCTAATGCATCCTAACTGTATTTTCTCACATGCAAACTGTATTACACTTTCTCTGCATCATCCCATCCAAAGCCCTGATATACTGCAGCAGAAATGAATAAGATTCTGGAATGAAAATACCTAAATCCCAGAAGGGAGTCTGCGCTTCTCATCCTATAATGATGAGAAACAGATACTATTACAATTAAAAGAAACATACTTTTCCTGCCTATGAGGACCTAATAACCTCAGCTTCATTTGCATGTCTGCCCTAGATCGAGATAAGTATTCAAATGTACTCATAAATAATGGAAAGGAAAGAACGTATTAATATGCCAAGTCACACCCCTTTAATCATACTGAGGTTCATGGTGATGATGTGTGTCTGTGTGTGTGTGTGTGTGAGAGCACATGTCTGAGGTTTTCATGCTTGACACAGAAGAGATTGGCTATTGAATAAGACCAGATGCGTCTGTCTCCCTTCTCTCTTGTCCCTCCATAATGGACAATTACCAAAAGAGTTATGGTTTTCTGCCACAAACATAATAGAGTGAAAATTAAAAGACCTTGTACAGCCTTTATGTGGTCAACCAGATGAGACCCCAGTCTCCAGCGCATGGAGCGAGCATGGACATACGATGTAGTTTACTCTCCACTATTGTACAAAGAATTAGCCAGTTAGCAAAGTCTACAGTATATGTATGGCTCTCCTTTTAGCCTTGTTTTTGACCTGGAAACAGCTGCGAGCTGAGGCCAAAAACAAATTTGGTAAGTGTGAACAAAAACAGTGGCACACTTTAAACGCAAACAATGAGCTGCAGAGTCCGATGGTAATTCTCTGTGGCTTCATAAACAGGGACACCTTTTACATACTAATAGTCATTTGATCCATATGGTAAAATACAAATATTGATTTTAGTCCCTTTCAAGCAGTAGTGCAGCACAACAAGCTGCTAACACAACATTGACATACTATAATATAGTTCATATGGAAAATGTCACATCACGCAAACACGCAGCAACGTTAGCAATGCGAAGAAGTCCAATGTTCACACTTTATAGCTCTTTTTTGGTCTCCACCAACTATATAGCTGGATCTTTAGCTGCTAAATGTTCCACTATGTTCACCAGCTGGTCACTAACTTTGTCTGTGTTAATGAGTTTGATGAGAGTGAATCAATAGTTAATGCGACCAAAACAAGCAGTTAGAAGACACTAAAATGCACGGTAGAGCTGAGGGGAACTGCACAGTATGTCATAACTAACTCTGTGTGGGTTTGTCACTACAAGTGACCCCTTTCCACTTTACATTTGAACCATTGTTAACATAAAAATGGGGATTAGAGCAGCTTTAACTTTTGCTTTTTTCTTACTGGATACTTAAACCTTTTCAGGCCTGTAAGAAAATTGTTGAAAATAATTCTCCATCAACTTAAACATGTGCTACATAAAATGTCGAACATCATGTGCAGACTGTCCATCTACTGTCTGAGGCCCAGCATGCTCCCTATACTGCCTCAGCATGTGAAGATAAGCTTTTAGCATGATCTGAACATGCTCTGTGGCCCATGTCTAATGAGGGCAGGCCAAGCGGGAGACTGGGCGTGGTGTGATCCTGAACCTGAACAGCGGCCCCCCGCTGTTAAACACTTCCTGTCCGTACTTCAGTGAGAACACATAAAGAAAGAGAGAAAGAGAGGGAGAGAAACATGGACGGTCCTTGGCTGTCACGGCAGTGATAATCATCATTCAGAGAAGGTTGACCACAACTGAATATCTAATCGTGCTGTGGATATCAGATCGCATTTACACATTTAGTTCCATAACTGATCTCAGCGGGTATGAAACCTTGGGTGAATTGTTAGAGAAAAAAAAATAGTTGAGACTCCCATAATTTAGATCCAAACAGCAGTGTGGAAATAGTGGACTCACAATAGTGGGATCACTGGGCACTGAGAAAAGGATCGATTGTTGGAAGTAGAGTACGCAATAACATCGACAGGCCAGTCATTCTCTCCTCCTCTATCTCTCTTACCTCCTCCCTTTCACCTCTTTTCTTTTCTCTCCCAGCCTGTTGTCTCTTTCTCTATCACCTTCTTTCTCCTTCTAGTCCCTCCCAAACCCCCTCCCCCCCTGTGACCTGCCTGTCTACCTCGGACAACAGCTCACAGCTGCTGGGCAGGAGCTCCCAAATGTGTCAATCAATATCCTGTCCCACCCAATCACCACGTCTGAGTGGGCCCCAGCAGGCCAGTCTGTTCACAAATGAACAACAGTGCTTATCGCACAGCGTGCTCTTTCATGATAAGACTGAAGCGAATGCTTTTGAAATGTCTCTCAGATCAAGTGCAGATATGTGGAAGCGACGTACGTCCAGCTGAAAAGAAAAGTATTCTGTTTGTATGTAAAAAAAATCTGAAATCTCAATGTCACTATAAAAAGCAATAAACCACAGTCAGCTCAAGCACACCAGCTGCACTCTCGTGTTTGTATTAATTCAGTGAAGTGATGCCCCGAGGGTATTTCTTCCTATAATTGAGTTTCCATTCAATCCTTATTTTAGGAAACATGTTTACAAAAATAACCATTCAAATTTCCGTCAGCTCAGCAAAAGTAAATGAACTTTCAAATATAGCTCCATTCTCCAAAAATAACCCCATGAGAAATTCTCACAATCCGATGCTGATGAGTGAGTTGTTGTTACTCATCTGATGCTGGCAACAACTCCTGCTGTCTGAACATAAAGAAAACAAAGAAATGCACTTAGAATTAATATTCTAATGCACCGAGTAAGAGGCATCGAGCTACAACCGAGGCCTTGTACACAAGAGGAGTGACAGCACGTGGCATTTGTGAAAGGTCATTTTTAACTGTTGTACAGTTTGTTTGCAGGGATGATTATGATAAGAAGGTTTTGCTGTTTGTCCAGTAAATACAATAAAAACTGAAATTGTGATGTTACAGAACTATATCCATATTGACCGGCTAAGCTCCTCTCCCAAAAAGCAGTTGTCCAATCTTAGCTTAGCAACGGTAACTTAGCATGACAGGGCTGTCAAGATTTTGCATTTTGCACATGTTGAAGTGATGCACACGGGGCTGTAGTCAGAACAATGTCTATAAAGAAATGGTATGTTTATCTGCTCTAACCATAGACTGCATGAGGCTCTAAAGTAAGCTGTACACGATAGCTTGGCCTGCTAACTAGCGTACTACCAACAGAAGTTGGCCTCGGAGAATTTCTTACTTTGGGCAGTTTGAATTTTCGTTAAAAAAAAAACCTCTGTGTAGTATTTTCACATATTTGCAATTAACTATGTCCTGCTCTTTATTATATTTGGGCAACTCCAGCAAACTAGTTATCCGAGATAGTGTTGCATTCCATAGTTCCTCACTAGCTCAACACTGCCAAACAACAACAAAGCTGTTTCTTTATTTCCGTGTCTTCTACGTCTTCTGCTTGTGCAACTGCTCCGGACAGTTGAACATAGTTGCCGGATAGAAATGAGAAGCTTGCTTTTTTTTCTACCTCTGTCTGAAATAAAGGGCCCGTAGTTTCAAAAATCACAAATCATTTTTAAGTGGTACATCTGCAGAGAACGGAAAGCTCGACAGGTTTAGCAACAGCAGCGACGAGGGCTGGTGCTCGCCGAACACTCAGTTAATTCAACACATCAAATTAAAGTGCTCCTGATTAATTCTTCATTTCGATCCGTCTTAAATGTCTTTTTGTTTATCTCCTTCATTTGATTTCAGTGCTTTGTGGAAACGGCAAGCAACAGAGATGCATTAATGCTAAACAGATTTGACTTAATGCATTATGGATGAAGTAAATAGATGCTGAATATAATGCCAATCAAACAGCGTGGGTAAAAACTTGTGGCTCAAACAGGATCATTGTACTCGGTATGAATGAACCCCTCTGACCGGAGGCACTGGTGCCCATATTCTCAGCGCGGAGCTGGAATGCACAGAAAACATTGCAATCCCGAAAGCGGGCCTGCAGCCAAGTTTGGGGCCCTAATGAGGCAGAGAGAGAAAGAGAGAAACTAATATTTCAAATGACTCAAACTTCCTCTTTAACAGTTCACGCTTGAACTCAAATTATATCCATGCTTCCTCATTTCTGTCACCATGATTGTCAAAAATATTCTCTCAAGACATGATCTCTCCACATTTAAACTCACAGTGAGTCACCTTCTTTCCTCTTTCTCTGAATTCACACACACACGCACACACACACACACACACACATACACACACACGCACACGGAGCATTTAATCTGACACTGGTGAGATTAAGTGTCAAACTGTATCAGCATTTCTGGTCTGTGTCATGGGAGGCTCAGCAGAAAGACAAACCCCTGTGCGCAGAGGGGACAAAATGAGCAGATGTTTGGCTGCCACAAACCGAACCAGTGATGCGTGTGCAAAAATGACACAGCATTTTTTTACTTTGGCATTTGGAGAAAGAAGATGAACAGACTATTCCAAGAGGTAAAGGGAGAGAAAGGAAGCAGGGAAGGTGAGGAGGATCAATCCCACGGTGATTAAGCTGCAGTTGCTGATTCAGATACTAGGCTGGAGGGGGGGGGGATTTATATTTTGCTTACAGACACACTTATACACAAATACCTGGTAATAAATGCAAGTCATACTGTGAGGAAGTGAGCTTTCGTTCTTAGAACCAGACTGTAATGTTTGTGTGGACATTAGTATTCATTGTGATGAGGCTGTTAGCACTCCTTCCTCCTTTTAGCTTCTCTTTAGAATCAAGCGCTCTCCTTTTTAATCCCATTTTTGTTCACATCACGTACCTGGCCCCTGCCGCCTTTATGATAGGTTCCCTTCCCCCTGAGCAGTGATACTGCGAGCTAAGACTTCAACCTCTGTTACTCAGTTATTTATCCCATTTCCACTTCATCCGCCAACAGGGAGTGAAGAGCAAGGTGATGAAAAGGACATGTTGGAAGTCATCAAACCTAAAAATCTGCCTTTTGCCAACGTCCACCAGGGTCTGTTTATGAAAACATGTTAGAGTAGAGCTGCAATCCAGGCTCACTGGCTCACATACTGGCCCTTGATTCATTTGCTGTGATGAAAACTAGCAATGTGACAGATAGAGAAGTCTGGGGAGCAATCAATCTTGACAACACCAAACCCCAGCACTACATGACAACTTTTACAGACGAGTCTCCCTTTAAAATCCCCGTCACTGATTTTTATTTGAGCCACAGAGGCCTCTCGTCTTCTTAACCTCTCTTTGTTTCCACCTGAGCTCTCGGATTTGTTGCGGGGACCAGCTTGATCCTGGAGAAGACCCTCGGTTGATATCCCACAGACCCAGCGAGGAGCCTCATAGTTTACGGGCCGCTGAACGGTTGGCTCCATCGCAGCACTAACAGCAGGATAACACCCCTGCCACCGCCCGCCTGTATGGGAACCTAAGCTCAGAGAGCGGAGGAAGCACGAGCACTACAGAAAATATATTGCTGCAGATAAAGTTAATGGTTTCAACTGCAGAGATAGCTCGCCAAATGACTTCCATTGAGTGCACACGACGGGGAGATGGAGTCGGGATATCGAGCCTAAAGAGAAAAAAGCACGAGGCAAATCTTCCCTTTTATTTGTCCGATAATAAGAATTATCATTGCAACAATTTATCATTTTGTAACTACAATTTACGAAGCAATTTTCCTTTCATGCTGTTAGGAAGCAGGATAGGGTGCAGCGACTACAAGCAGTCAGGGTTGCGTCTATCATCAAGCGATTGTTTTGCAGCTGTAATGACAAGGTGACTTTAAATCATAGTTTGCAGACGGTTCAAGAACACCAAGACACAATATACACACACATACACACACACTTTTGCAAATTTCCCCACAGCTCACTGTAGATAGCTGAGGTCGATTACGCCAATCATGGTAAACACAGTTAACTGAAATCAGCACCAGTAGCCTCTACATGCACGAACATGTGCGTGTGTGTGTGTGTGTGTGTGTGTGTGAGTTGCAGATGTGAATATCTTGAGACAGCCTGCAGCTGAGAGGCTTAGTAAACAACGCCTTAAAGAAAATGAATAGTGCCCTCCAGCTAATACAGCTCCCACTGCTTAGAGTACCCACAGCTCTCTATTACACACACACCGTATAGTTCACACATACACACACACACACACACACACAGAAACACTGCTGCCACAGATGTGTGCTCCCCTCTTTGTTAACCATCAGCCTCAGCAGGCGACGTGTGTCTGTGCAGCATAGCAAATGGATTTTCGGCATCTCTGTGGTCATGAACCACCCATATTTCCAGCTCTTTTAACCCAACGCCCCCACGGCTGCATTGTGCACTCGATGGCTCCGGTGCTGACTGGTAAGCCGGTCTAAAAAAAAAGGAGAGAGGCACTAACCTGAGTGGAGCTTGAGTCCGGTGAGAGCAGCAAGGTGGAGTCCAGTGGAAGAATTAAAATCCACTGCTACACTGAAGTGAAAAGACCTCTCCCTCCTCTCTCTGTCCTCTCTCTCTCTCTCTCTCTCTCTCGCACTGTCAGGTTCAGGCTTGTGTTAAACTGCTGCCTCGCTGCATTGGTTGCGTCCTCCCTTCCTTCCCTCTCTCTCTCTCTCACACACACACACACTTGCACGCTCAGTGACAGACTGACTCGCCCTTTCACTCAACCTCCCGTCTTGCCTCCTCAGATGCTATCCATCTACTATTACCCTTTCCTCATTCCTTCTCTATGGCGAGTGAAGATAATCACATTCCAGCGGAGATGGGGCATATGGCGGGGGAGCGGCACTCAGCCCCAGAGTAAAGCCCCCTCTGTGTGTGAGTGTGTGTCGCATGGACAATCGGTCCCATTGTGTTGGGCGAGGGGAGGGCCAGTGAGAGGGGAAGAAGCCAATGGCCGTACTCATCTGCTGTCCCTGCTGCTGCTGGCTATAGCAGATATACATAGGTGCTATGCGTGACACAAAAACAACCCCCTCCAGGAAGAGAGTGGAAAGGGGGTGTGACACCAAGAAGACAAGGCATCTGGAGATGAGATATGATGAAGAATTGATGCGTGTGTGTTTTACAAAGTAGAGGCCTGAAGTAAAGGTTTATAGAAAGGTTCATCTCAGTCATCTTCACATCTCTCTGTGCCGTGTGTGATGATGGGCTTTGAACTCCCTTCTTCCAGGGTTCACACTGAGCAGCACATAGCAGGTTGGAGGTAGTCGGAGAAGTGGAAGTGAAGTCCACCCACTCTTTCCCCATGACAACCAAACAGTGGTTACACACTGCTGAGAGGAGTCACCTGCAGAAATATTTAAAATAGATCCAGATATTCAGATGTTTCAATCCAGATCCATGTTGCGAACTGACTATTGAAATGATCATTTTTCTTTCAAAGCTGTTAATATTTGTATTTATATAAAGCTCAAACCATTACATTCAATCCATTGGTCAAACAATTAAATATTCAACACATGGGGCTATGCAAGGTCTGCCTGACGGCTTCTTATATATGTTTACCCTGCATGGCTCTATGGACGGCAATCTCGGTCTGTTTATCAGTCCAACACAAGGTTAAAATATCTCAACAAACATTGAATGGATTGCTATAATTGTTACAGATATTCATGGCTCCCAGAGGATGAACCCTTGGTGATCCAATGACTTTCTCTTTTGTGTCACCATGAGGTTGACATTTTCTTTATTATTTTGAATAAAATGTCTTCACAACTGTTGAACGTGTTTCCATGAAATTTGATGCAGACTTTCATGTTCCCCTTCGGATGAACTGTTATAACGTTGCTGATCCCCTCACTTATCTTAAGAGTGCCATCATTGGGTCCAAAAAGATAATTGGTCCAATGCTTTGGTTTATGACCAAATACCTTCTAAACCGAAAAATTCCAATAACTCTCAGCTCTACTTTTTCAAATCTTACCATGCTAACTGGCCTAAAATGGTGAACATATAATCCTTATACCTGTTAAAGATCATTGTCAAAGCCATTAAGTGAGCATGTTGCTGAGGAGATAGCAGCGCGTAGGCTCTTTCAGACTTGTGAATTGCCAAGGACTTTGTTTTGAATGCTTTAAAGTCAGTTCTGTAAGGCAAGTCTCACAGCAGTGAAGTCCAGTTAAAGCCTCAAGCCTGTCTGAGTCACGTTCAAGTCTCAAATGTACAGCTCTTGTGAAAGACTCTAAAGTGTCTCAATTAAGGAACTAACTGTCCCTTCATATTTGGAGTTGATTTCATAAGCCGAAGTAGTCAGACAAACGTCACCAACACTCCAGCTGAGGTGCAAAAAATGATAAAATACAAAAATGTCTTTTTTGGGATTGCAAAAAATCAATAGATGCAGTAAATGTATCAATATTTGCGTCTTCTCCCTCCATTGTCGCTGAATACAGCGGACCACAGAGCGGACAGATCTCTGTTGTGGTTGGCTGGAGTGGCTGAAGTGTTGACATGGTGAGAAAGAGCACTCAGTTGTTCTCAAATTGACAAACCTGTCTGTGAAAATGACCTGCAGGCCCACGATAAGTGTTACAGTGGCACGCAGAGAGAAGTGATGCTTTCACAAGATGTGTGAAGGAGCAAGCTTTCGGTTGAATATGATGCAGACACAGTTACACCTCAGGCACTCGCTGAAAATAAATCGTTATATGAAGGAGCTTCACTCTGTCCATCTCGTTTATAATTCAGACTGGCAGTCATCACAGTCCTGACCTCTTTTCTAATCCCCTCTCTGTCATTACATCTATATTTTCACCCTTTTTTTCTTTTAACCTAAATCCTCCATTTATTAACCAGCTGTTCTTTACCGATCTTCTTCTCACTTCCCAAATTTCTAATGTGTTCAGCATAGTGCTGGTGATTCTCTGTATAATGATCAAACGCACCCTTTATTGTTAACCGGACATGGATGCCCATTAAAATGAAATCCATTCAGCAGTAACCTAGTCACAGCCAGCACACATACGCACATGTTCTCACACACACACACACACACCTTGATACACACTGTGAGTCTGTGCAGGCCTCCTTACACAACACAGTAATTAGTGACCGGAAGGTCCAGAGAGTCGATAACTATATCCAGATGTCACCATCAGCAGCGGCATGTGTGCTGCCTGCATGTCTCTGCGGACTGTGAGCATGTGCCAACCACATGCAGGATGTCATGGTGCTACAGAAATAACTGCATTCTCAGTTTCTTCCTGTGGAGCCATTACCACAGACAGGTCAGTACATGCTGCTCTAAGGTCAGACAGCCTGCAGCCATGCACACACACACACACACACACACACACACTCACGCTCACACAAAAACACTTGCTGTTTGAGCCTCGAGGGTCCATGCTCATAGCTCATTAGGACCCCAAAACTGTGCTGCAACAGTTAAAGGTCTGCCTGACAGGAGAGTAAAGGAACTCAAACAAAAAGCAGAGGAGAACCAAACTGTGAATTTTTTCTGCATTTCGATCCCTGTGGCGGTGTAACCCCCAGCTAATAAGCAGGGTGTGCAGCCTGAAAATGTGGCTACATACAGTATTAATTATACCTTTCACCAAAAGTGACAAGTGAGGATATTAAAAGAAACCCTTTAACAAAGTGAGTGTTACATGTGTCCTAATGTACTGTCCCCTGTCAGCTCTTCAGCCTAATTGGTGGCAATTCTGTTGAAAAGTCGCTGGATTTATAAAACATTAGTGAGCCTTTTGCAGAGGAGGAGCTGAGAGAGCAAATGGCTCAGCAATGTTCGGCCTCATTTGGGTCAATATGTTACTATAATCTCAAAATAATATGCACAGAAATAATACAAATACTCAGAATCAGCTCTGGCTGTTTTTTTGTCAGTGGTTGCCAGAGGAAAGAGCTGAGCACTACTTTACCAGGAAATGGTAAAGTAGTGGTGAACATTTTAATATTATGTAAGCAAATCATATCTCCTATGAGGCATTGATTACTATCTGGAGGATGGCATATTGTCTCCATGGTGACACTCAACAGAAGTATTGGTTTTCAGACAGTGAGTAATGGACCTGCTTAAGTATTCTCTATACAGTGTGCAATTTGACGTGAGTGCCCAGGCATTTATATACACAGGCATTACAGGCATTACAGTCATGGAGGTACGCAGACAGTCCATGAGGACCCGCCCACAAATCCATGGATTCATGCACAGCTCACACGGGAGGAGGCAGACAAATGAATCCAGAAACAGACAACAACTCATAAATGCACACCGCTTGGTACGAGAAATGCAATCAAACAGTTAACGCGCGCTCTGCATGGTGCCGTCGATAAGGCCTTCATTGCTGCTTTGCAACCACAGATCAATCTGTTGTCACGCGCTGTGAACATCAGCTCACGCACATGCACAAACTCTTCCTGATTCCCGATATCCAGTTAGAATTCAAAAGTAATGAAACGCATCATGCGTGACCACCATGTCAAGTTTTGTGTAGCTTAATTATTTCTGCTTCTTTCCCTTCCCTGAAGGTGTCACATGCTCCGACATGTAGACACCCCCATACCTCTGACGGTGTGGACGTGCTGATAGCAGAGAGGAGAGATTTATCTCTCACTTATCAGCGCTCTGCACTCATTCGCATATGCATTAGATGGACCCACTCAGGCTTGTTAAGCTGTTGAGAGTATAATCTAACTATACATTTTCACTATAATTTAAATTTGTGTTTATCAACTTAAGCTAAAATTTAAGAGGGATTAGATTATTATTTAATTATTTAAACAACTCCTCCAATCACTGAATAGTTGGGACACTTTAGTTTTATGGAGAGGGACCAAACAAAGCATCATCACTACGAGTGACTCTTTGGACATTTAATCTGTGGCAAGTATACAAATATTGATTAGTGCAGCTTTTTAAGGCACTAGTCCAAATAATTACCTTTTCAGGTTAAAAGCAGCTCAGTTTGGTTTTGTGCAATTTTCGACAGTTTCCTCCTGGATACACTCTCTCTTCCTGTATGGCTCTGCACAACCTGTTAAAACATTTGAACTTTCCCATATTTCTTAGCTATGTCAGTAGAAAGAAACAAATTCAGTTCATATTGAGTTTAAAGGATTCCAATTTGATTCAGTTGGCTTTTAAAACCTTATCTCGGTGCATTTCAAGTGGCTGTTATTCACTGTTTGTAACCCCACTTCCAAGCGTGAAAGAACATAATATATGTACATATATATTCTTCTGTCCTTTTTCTTCCTTATGCCTCACCACCTTCCACCCACTCATCACAGACATACAGACACACACTGTCCACCTTACACTTTTTTTTCTACCTTCTTACCACTGCAGCTGGCATTTCCCTCTCCCCTCGCACACTGCCCCACCTCTCCACCACATCCACCTACCACTCTGCTCCTCTCGTCCATCCCTCCCTCTCTCTCTCTTTGGCCTGATAAGAGAGGAGAGGGGAGGAGAGCAGCATGGCTCCATGCCATTACCCACCCCATCTCTATAAGCATAGAACCACAGGCCTCCCACACGCACACACACACACACACACACACACACACGTACACACACACACATACACACACACACACACACACACATCATTAATTAAACCCACGTCGCTTAAAATGCATGCACATGTGCACGTTCACCAGCACACACACAAATACATTTGGCATGCACACACTGCGTTTGAGCCCTGGCCGTTTTCATTGACTACCCCCTCCTCCCGGTGCACCACGAACATTATGACGGTCAATGATGAAAGATATTGTCTGCAGACACACACGTCTTCATAGACACACACAACAGCTACAAAGACACAGCAATCAAATTACAGAGGCTGGAACTCTACAGCAGCAGGGCGCATCTGTCATGAGGGCAGAGTAGGCAACGGGTCGGCAGCTGCCCCCCCCTCCCACAACAGAAGAACAGCCCACCTTGGATTGGTTCCCACAATCAGCCTGGCAGACACACACACACAGATGCACGTCAAGCCATCCCTGCTGCCAAATCTGCCCCTGAAAATAAACACACAACAACCTGCCAAAAACGAACGCTGACTGCAGAGTCGGTCCTGAAGCTGCACTGCGAGACGGGTAGTGATTTCTAGACACCAAATTGATTAAACAATTAGTTTACCATCTCAGCACAGAAGACGCTTGGTTGCTTTCATTATCCACCTTATCTTTCTCATCTTTCCTCGCAGCGAACACACAGAAGAAACCCCGCTATAATTCACCCTGAGCTCACAATAAGACTTGAGAGCGATCACTGAGAGCGATATGTATTTCATTATTTTCATGTTTGGGAGTGCATCAGTGACTGTGTGTGTGTGTGTGTGTGTGTGTGTTTGTATGTGTGCATGATTACACAGTACACACATGATGAAATTGTTACCTCCGCCAGCGCTGGCCTGATTTGCATGAAACTTGGTGGAAGGGTGTAGCACGGGCCAAGGAAGAACCCAATACATTTCGGAGTAGATGCCAAGCACAGGGCGGATACTAGGGGTGGGGGAAAAAATCGATACAGCATAGTATCGCGATATTTTGCGTGGCGATATGGTATCGATACATGGACGCCAAGTATCGATCTTTTATTATATAAACTATTAAAAAAAATATATATATATATTTTTTTTTTAGAAAAATCAAATCAATTACTTTTTCAGTCCACTAGATGGTGCTGAGTTATTTTCTGGTGAGGTCAGCAAAGGTCCCGGGTCAGCGTGATTGGTAGGAAGTTGGTCAAAACAAAGATAGAGACATCTGGCCTCACAAAGGGGTTAAATCTGCCAACAGTAGCCAGGCTCATGGGGAGAGTGCAGCGCATAACTGTCTCTCTGCCCTTGACGTCCGCGCATCGCAAGTTATACTGAGTTATATAACTTTTATATCCTACTTATATAAGTCATAGTTCATATACTGAGTCCACACGTTTGCATTTAGTTAAGTTGGACTATGTAGTAATACAAACAGTTCAGTTTGTCAGGTGCAACATTTATGACATTGTTGGTCAGTCTGTCTGCTTGACAATCCTATTTTGCTGCAATAAAAATGATTGAAGTGAGATGAACAGACTGAAAACTTTATCTTATTAGATAAAACATGTTGAAACAGTTTTCCTTTGGGGACATAATTTGAAGTTGAAAAAAGTAATAAATCGCAATAAATCGCAATATATCGCAGTATCGTGATAATATCGTATCGTGACACAAGTATCGCGATAATATCGTATCGCGGGATCTCTGGTGATTCCCACCCCTAGCGGATACGCGCATTATTTTTCACTTATTCAAATGGCCTTGGTGGAGTTTTAATACTGTTTTTGCTGACCTTGTACGATGCCAGTTTATCAAGCCAATTATTGATTCGCCTTTCTTGGTCAAAAAAGTGCATTACTAAAATAGTGCTGTAAGAATTCACTGCTTGAACTTAGATTGCTACCTCATGCATGTACTGACCTTTCTACTCTGCCTGCTTGAATTAATCATATTCTGTGCAGACTTTATAAATCACATCCTGGCTAAAAGGATTGACTACGTTCCCCTCTACATCATTTAACGCTCTAACAGGGCAATCAGATTCCAGCAGACGGGGCTGATCGGACGCTCTGTTCTGACTGACAACAGGAAACTTGGAAGAATTAGATGTAATTCAGTATTTGTAGTGTGCAACCTCCACATTATCATTCTGGTATAGGGGAGAAAAAACACTATGGCGCTCTTTGTCTTTCTTTAAACCAATCACAATCGTCCATGCCGTCGCTAAGCACAGGATGCAGCGATAATGTCCTTGCAAAATAGATGCAGTGTAGTGCACATAGTGGAAGGGGAGGCGAAAGCCGCTACGTGGCCGCCTATGCCCCTAGTCTACTTCTGGTGATTCAGACTAGTAATGTGGTGAGATTGGCCTTCATAAGGCGTTAATACAGTCAGCTTGTAAAAAGCTGATTATTGTCTTTGGCGCTATTTGCACAATCACACTTAAGCACAGGTAGGATGGACAACAAGAAGCACAGAGTTCTGGTGGTGCATGGCTGCCTTTGATCAGCTGACGAGCTTGTTGACAGCAAGCCCTCATGTGGCCACAGTCAAAATTACAGGTCACGTGAGTCCTTTTTTTCATTCAATGTGCTATACTACATCACCCATTAGTGAATTCTCAGAAAGAGAGAGAATATAATATGACTAAGCGTATTTTTTTAAGTAAGTGTATCTTAGTGACAAACATTTCTCACGGTGTCTGTTGGTGAGTGTGAGCACACATCTCTAGTCACCTGTCAGCAAAACAACCTGAGCGTGATGTCAGGACTCAGGCATGCCAGGAGGAATGCTTATCAATGTAGAGAGAGAGAGAGAGAGAGAGAGAGAGAGAGAGAGAGAGAGAGAGAGAGAAAGAGAGGGAGAGAAGCTTGAGGGGGAGAAAGAGAAAATAGCAACTGTAGAAAATATGATGGAGGTAAGAAAGAAAAAGACTTCCTGGAGGCACCTCCTGTAGAGGAGGCTGACAACCACACAACGAGACTTGCCAAGTGGAAACTAACAACATTACTAAATTTAGCTCATCATCATCATCTTCACCCCGACTACCTGACTTTCTTGTTTTGCCTCCAGACTCAGGAATCCCCACACCGGTACTATCTAGTGAGAACATACTGTGCTGCTGAAGCTCTGTGAATCTGTAACTTGGGCTCTTTTAGTGCTTTGGATCGCACACAAGGAAGTCACAGGGGAAATGAATAAGTGCTAAGATCTAAGAGTGTGACAAGCATATGTTTGTGTGGGAGGGGCTGCAATGTATTCAAACTGAAATTGTGAAATTAGATTTATTGTGTTTGAATATATGCATTATACCCAGACCCTTACTCACTCAATAAAGAAATGATATATATATATACGTATATATATAACCCCCAATCCCCCCAATACTGGATCATAATCCATCTTAAAGGATAAGTTCACTTCAAAATGAAAATTCTGTCATTACGTGCAAGATCACCACACACTCTCAACCATTTCCCAGAACTGCTGGAACTACTCTTTGAAGGCTAAAATAAAAATAGAGAAAGGCTAATCCAAACATATGAGTGTATTCGCGCTCATATGGACAAGTTGTGCTCCTGGTATACTTGTGACACCCTCTCCCACGTTGAAACAATGAGCGTGGTGAAAGGACTCGGGCCTGCTGGTGTTCCCAGCCTTTTCCTTCCTGCCCATGAGAATGAAAGCAGAATGCCTCACAGTGTTTCCTCTCGTCCGCTATTAAATAAGGGGTGACTCACCACAGCTCACCAACAATACACACCACCCTAAGAAAGGTGCACAGTTGAGGGGTTGCAATGTTACAACACACACATACTCACACATCCATAGACACACACACACAGCACAAACACAGTTGGGTAATGGGCCATCAGAGATGTTGCCAAAAGGCCAGCGTGGTTAGAAGAGGGTCTTGGAGAGGGGAAACGGTTCCCAGGCCTCTGAGAACAAAACTTTCCTTTTTTTCCAGCCTGGTGGATTCAAATGCTCCCTCACACAGCAGCAGGCCCGGTCCACATGGAGACCAATGCTGCGACTCAGTGAATCAATACGCTCACTCCAAGTATGTTCACGCTATCTGACAAGTAATACTGAAACAAATGCATTTACCAAACACACGTTGGTGGACCACTGACTGCTAACCGAATTAAAAAAATAATAATTACACACATATACTGCAGAGGGGAGGGAGACATTTCAGATCATTTGCAATAATAATGATAATTTGGAACAGCAGCACATCAGCAGTGTGCAAAATAAACAGTGTATGAGGGAGAGCAGCCAGGTGATAACATTAGAAAATGAATCCTGCTCGATGGTATTCAAACAAGAACAACAGAGCAGCAGGGACTAAGCAAGTCGAGGAATGTTTTATGGTAATGATGAGAGATGACTCACAGGTGATGGGCAAAGGATGGGCAGAGAAAAATAACTTTTTGATAATTTTCAGAATTTAACATCAACTCCTCCTTGACTTTTCAATGTAAAACCAAACATGGAGACTCAAATTTCTTACCATAACAGCAGAGCAGACACATCTTTGCGTTTTTACCTCTCCGCCTCCAAAACCAGTACTTGCGCCGTCGTTTCATTGTCACGTCAGTGTCTTTATTTTGAAAAAGAAAATATCAACCCACGGTCCTCTACTAACATATATATTCAACTAATGAACAGTGTTCATCCTCACTGTGTTGACCAGCCTGTAAGCATCACCTACCCGAGGCAACGTGTTGGAGACACCTCCGGTAACCAGCGGCCAGGCAGTCCATCCTGTGTCTGACAGTAGATGAGAGAGAAAGTGAACAGATGACGAAAAGTAATAAACAACTTGAATCAAAGTTTCAGTCCCTACATAAAAGCGGCGGCCTAAAATACACTTCCGTTTAGTCTTTGTTCCACCCGAGAACAAAGAGACGGAGGAGACCTCCTGACAGGACGCTATGCTGAGACCTACTACACTCTACTGAAGAGTAGAAAGACAGCACCGTACAGGAAGACAAGTCATCCAACCACCAACACCTTCACATCTTTCCGTCCTCTTGCAGATGGGATGTCCGTAATTTCACAAAGGTGAGAAATAAAAGGTTGGGCAACACATTGGCCCACATCTTCTTCTCTGTAAAGTTACTTCCTCAAAGTCCGCCTTGGTCCCCTCGGTGCTCAGCAGGTCTGAATTCTCAGAGCTCAGACTGAGCTTGTAAGGTACAGTAGCTTTCTGGGAAGAGCCTCACAGGCAAACAATGCCAGTCAGGAGGGGGGAAAGGACACATGCTACAGTCAGGAAACAGTGTGTCCTGGCTGAAACACAGCGGATATTTAGGCTTCTACTGGCTTGATACAGGCTAGTGAACACTGACATTGTTTCCCAGTGTATCAAACCAAGCCGATAAGGTTTGGTGGCAAAATAAAAAATAGATTTAGAGTGAATTACAGATTCCATTAGAGTACAACCTGGCCTTGCGTGGTGTGTCACACACGCACAAACACATACAGTCAACAGACTCATTTCTTTTCTGGAGAAATGTTACACATTTCTATACAAACAAACAGTCTAAAAGTAGCTCTTGTTAGTCTCCTCTCTTCACCTCATTGTTTTTCCAGCAGGCATAACTGGTTTGCTAATTGTCAGTGTTCCCATCATGTATTAGTGAAAATGAAATGATTAAAAAAGCATGATAACGTGCTTTCAAATGGAAGGACCTCTTGGTTTTTATAGAGACAATCTAACATAACTGATGAATGTTGATTGTTTTCTTATTGATTTGGAAGCAACAGCAGCACAGTATCATGCCGAGATATAGTGTAATGTGGATGGTTGCTTTGTCGCAGAGGAGAACATGACTCTGCATGAGTCCACATCACACGCTGAGCACAACGGCCCACCTGCTGGTCGATGGGTGAAACATTTCTGAGCCTGTACCTCCACCTACTGGAACACTTGCAAACTGGAGCTCTCCAAACTTGATCCGAAGTACTGGTTGTTTGTGAGAGCATGTTTGTGCAACCGCTGAGAGATATCACACCA